TACCAATTGTTTAATTAGTTTAATAATTAAATTGATATTAAAACGGATTTAGTTTCAAGTCATACAGTATGTTGTAATATATTTTTATCAATCGTATCATTTATAAAAACAATTAAATTGATTAAAAAGTTAAATAAGCAAATTTGAATGAAAAGTGAATTGGGTCATATTTAATCATTGAAATGATTTCCATATTAATTGTTTGCGTTATTTTTGAGTGTGATCTCACATACGGTTGTGGTGTGAAAGTTCATCTACAGTACAAGCAATCACAAAATCAATCACTATTAATCATATCTGTAGTGGGAATATGAAATAAACACATTGGGATATTCATTATAATCTTTAATACTACGTGCTATAGTCATAAAGCTTTAAAATGTTAAACATACTGTATTATTTTCTTGTACTTTAGTATATTTTGTATGACTAAACAAGCAACATTTTAAAGCTTTATGACTATAGCACGTAGTATTAAAGATTATAATGAATATCCCAATGTGTTTATTTCATATTCCCACTACAGATATGATGTATAAATATTTCTCAAATATATTTCAAATCATACACAGGCCTGAAACAGTTGCACCAAATCAATGACATTTTGCTTTTTGGGAAACTTTTTCTCGGCTTCGGATCTGCATTGAGACAAATGCTCTTTGAGTTCACTTTCTATATCTTTTGGCAACTTTTTGCCAGAAATCCTGGCCAACGCTCGACTGAACCGATAGCGACCCCTCTTATCAAACTATAATTCAAATTCAATTATATTTCAAAACAGTTTTAAAGTTTAAAACTAAAACACATTTTATCGTAAATTATTTTAAAATATCAATTCCGACCCAATTATCGGCTTTGAGGGCGCAGTCCATGATCTGTTTGCTGTGCACTTTGATTCTCCTTTCCGTGAGTTCTGTGGGAACGGGATGTTGTTTAAAGCACCGTTCAGTCAGCTCATCCTTTCTCAGCTCTTCAGCCCGTGTGGGCGCCAATTGCGGACACTTTCCCCAATCCAGCTCTGGCTATATATCGGCCAAAAACAATAAATAAAAACATTTTGACAACAGAAAATTGAAATATTATAAACTACTGGACCGGTGTTTGTGGGTTAGGGAGGGCATCGGGTGCAGCCGTCGTAGTAGTAGTGATATTACTCGGAGTGACCACTGATTTCTTCCTATTTGTCACCCGTTGGCCGCAAACCATACCAATCATTATGAGACAAATGACATAAACTTTCATTTTGTTATAAAAAGTTATGTTTTTCTGAATCGACAAAGAAGTTCACAGAAGTCTATACGACTGGAGAACTGGTTCGAAGACTTTTATATCAATTTTCTGTGGCCTTTAAATGATTTTATTGACCCTTAAATAGCCTTCAAAATTATTTTTGCATTTTTGTGGTCCTTTGTGCGAAAAGTTGTTTTGATTAAAATCTCTAATTAAAGGTCTTATGGGTCTGTGACCAGGTTTATAAATAAAAAAATTATTTTTAAACATTATTTTATTCAATTGCTATACAAACGAACAACAGATTATAAAATAAATGTATACAAAAATATATCGTTCATAACAAATATATTAATATTAAATATAGACATTATTCTATTTGATATAATAAAATATTAATACTATTCTCACAGACAAAAACAATAATAAAAATTACTTCAATGTTACAAAAGTAATAATAGTCTTAACATTTAGATAAAATAATTAACATGGAAAGTATTTAAAACATAAAATTACAGCAAATATAAGCATAAAGTATTGTTTTATGGATTAATAATTTTGATTTTAGCGGTGAAAACAGCAATCATTAAATAAATTACAGAATGTATACAATTAGAGACGATGGCTATCCAGACGGGAAAGTGTGTTATACCCCAAAATTTTTCGGTAACACCGATAATACGGACGATGAGTACAAAGAGAGACACAGAGAGGAAAGGGATGAGAGCCGAGAGTTTTGGCAAATGAGTACAAACTTCACTCTCTATAAGCATTGGGCGCTGTTTTTCAAGAACTGGATCAAACTTCGTGGCAACCTGACCCTGGTGTTCTGGGTGCTATTGCTGCCATCCGTTGAATTATCACTGTTCCTAATGGTGACGGGACCACAGCATGGCTTCCGGGTGTCCGTCTATAACGAAGAGGTGTCCAACAACTTCTCCTCACAGATATTGGATCTGTTGGACAACAAGTCCATTACGCAGATAACGCACCCGACCCTCGAGTCAGCCATCAGTGCTGTAGAGAAGGGTCACACATCCGTAGCCATCGCTTTTGCCGCAAACTTTAGCGACTCTTTGATTGATAGGTTGGACAACAAGTTCTCGGACGAGTCTAACGATACCGGCGCTCATTATCGCACCGACACCGTCAACCTATACGCCGATATGTCAAACATAATGTCCGGCCCCCAGATTGTGGACAAAGTGCGGACAGCTGTGACCGACTTTTTGCGTCAATACCTGATAGCGAACGGCGAGAACCCCCGGGCGGCCGAAATACCTCTCGTCTACGACCTGACGTACGGCCGATACGACCCGACATTTGCGGAGTACGCCCTCCCGGGGCTCATGTCGTTCATACTGTTCTACGCGCCGCTCAAACTCTGCACGTTTGCGATGCTTAAGGAACGGGAGGAGGGGATACTGGAGCGCAGTTTGGTGGCCGGGGTTAATGTGGCCGACTATCTCATATCGCATATTATTTTGCAGTTTATATCGCTTGTCGTACAGGTAGTGGTCTATTGTTTCACAGTATTCTTCATATGGGAACTGGATGTCAAGGGAAGCGCTATTTTGCTAATCGTTGAGATCTTCTTCCACGGCTTCTGCAGCATATCATTTGGTGTATTGATATCAGCGCTGGTGTCCAGCGAGTCGGCAGCGATGGTCATCCGAGTGGGCGTTCTGTTGCCCTCATTCTTCTTCAGCGGTATTATATGGCCGGTCGAGTCGTATACGCCGTTCCTCCAGACGCTCACCCTACTGTCCCCTCTCACACTACCCACTGAGGCGTTCCGGTCCATAATGAACAGGGGATGGGGTATAACACACTTTCCCGTCTGGATAGCCATCGTCTCTAATTGTATACATTCTGTAATTTATTTAATGATTGCTGTTTTCACCGCTAAAATCAAAATTATTAATCCATAAAACAATACTTTATACTAATATTTGCTGTAATTTTATGTTTAAAATACTTTCCATGTTAATTATTTTATCTAAATGTTAAGACTGTTATTACTTTTGTAACATTGAAGTAATTTTGATTATTGTTTTTGTCTGTGAGAATAGTATTAATATTTTATTATATAAAATAGAATAATGTCTATATTTAATATTAATATATTTGTTATGAACGATATATTTTTGTATACATTTATTTTATAATCTGTTGTTCGTTTGTATAGCAATTGAATAAAATAATGTTTAAAAATAATTTTGTTATTTATAAATCTGGTCACAGACCCATAAGGCCTTTAATTAGAGATTTTAATCAAAACAACTTTTCGCACAAAGGACCACAAAAATGCAAAAATCATTTTGAAGGCTATTTAAGGGTCAATAAAATCATTTAAAGGCAACAGAAAATTGATATAAAAGTCTTCGAACCAGTTCTCCAGTCATATAGACTTCTGTGAACTTCTTTGTCGATTCAGAAAAACATAACTTTTTATAACAAAATGAAAGTTTATGTCATTTGTCTCGTAATGGTTGGTATGGTTTGCGGCCAACGGGTGACAAATAGGAAGAAATCAGTGGTCACTCCGAGTACCATCACTACTACTACTACTACTACGGCTGCACCCGATGCCCTCCCTAACCCACAAACACCGGTCTAGTAGTTTATAATATTTCAATTGTCTGTTGTCAAAATGTTTTTATTTATTGTTTTGGCCGATATATAGCCAGAGTTGGATTGGGGAAAGTGTCCACAACTGGCGCCCACACGGGCTGAAGAGCTGAGAAAGGATGAGCTGACTGAACGGTGCTTTAAACAACATCCCGTTCCCACAGAACTCACGGAAAGGAGGATCAAAGTGCACAGCAAACAGATCATGGACTGCGCCCTCAAAGCCGATAATTGGGTCCGAATTTATATTTTTAAATAATTTACGATAAAATGTGTTTAAATTTTAAACTTTAAAATTGTTTTGAAATATAATTTAATTTGAATTACAGTTTGATAAGAGGGGTCGCTATCGGTTCAGTCGAGCGTTGGCCAGGATTTCTGGCAAAAAGTTGCCAAAAGATATAGAAAGTGAACTCAAAGAGCATTTGTCTCAATGCAGATCCGAAGCCGAGAAAAAGTTTCCCAAAAAGGCAAATGTCATTGATTTGGTGCAACTGTTTCAGGCCTGTGTATGATTTGAAATATATTTGAGAAATACATCATATGATTAGTGATTGATTTTGTGATTACTTGTACTGTAGATGAACTTTCACACCACAACCGTATGTGAGATCACACTCAAGAATAACGCAAACAATTAATATGGAAATCATTTCAATGATTCAAATATGACCCAATTCACTTTTGATTAAAATTTGCTTATTTAACTTTTTAATCAATTTAATTGTTTTTATAAATGATACGATTGATAAAAATATATTACAACTTACTGTATGACTTAAAACTAAATCCGTTTTAATATCAATTTAATTATTAAACTAATTAAACAATTGGTATTGAAAATCTAGGTTAAATATAAATATTAAATAATAACTTTTTATATTGATAAATGTGCTAATCACAAATATTTGTTTTAATAGTCAATAATATATTGTAGGAACCTCAGTTTCAGGTAAACTCTAAACAGGTAAACCTTAGAATAAATGATTAATATATAATCTGCTAGATGCTAGTTTTCAAATTGCTAGATGGGATTGTTCAGTCTAATTGACATGATGTTATTTCTAAAATAAGATATGATAAAAAATATGCCAAAAAAGGTAATTTCCCTAAACTACAGGATCCTTAATTTGCTGATATATTGACTGTTCAATACGTTTTTGATTACATTTTACATCCACATCGTATAAAAAGTAATGCATTTTTAATAAATCACTTCAAATCTGATTATCACATTAAACCAGTGATGGGGTCGAAGAAGTTAGTGATAATAGACACGGATTGTGGTGTCGATGATGCGTTGGCCATAATGTTGGCCACGTATTGTCAAAAACAAGAAATGATAGACATCCTGGGGATCACCTGTTCATTTGGTAATACATATGTGGATAATGTGTGCAAAAATGTTTGCTATACTCTCAGAGCGAGTGAACTGGAGGTAACCTTTGGGACAAAATGACAATTGAATTTTAAATAATATATGGTTTATGACTAAATAGCAAATAAAGGTCTACCGGGGCTGTGAGGGACCCATAATTGGGAAATACGTTTCCGACGATTACTACGGAAAGGATGGTTTGGGAGACTCTACTAAAGACATGCCTCCTATTAGTTTATGACTAAATAGCAAATAAAGGTCTACCGGGGCTGTGAGGGACCCATAATTGGAAAATACGTTTCCGACGATTACTACGGAAAGGATGGTTTGGGAGACTCTACTAAAGACATGCCTCCTATTGTGCCCCACATTGAGAGCGAGCACGCGGTGAACGCATTGATACGACTGTCCAGAGAGCACCCAAAACAGATCACTTTGTTTGCTTTGGGACCCCTCACCAACATAGCACTGGCCTATCATTTGGATAACAAATTGTTTGACAATTTGGAGCAAATCGTGTTTATGGGCGGAACTCTTGATTTNTTTCAAACTTGAAAAGCGTTTCAAAAAGTTTATTCACTTCTGAACTGTTCAGCTATTAATACATAAGAAACACTGTAGTGCTTGAAAAGGGATGAGTAAGTGAGCGCCAGTATGTGGGTTCTATGGTGTAATGGTCAGCACTCTGGACTCTGAATCCAGCGATCCGAGTTCGAGTCTCGGTAGGACCTCAGACTCTTTTTTGCTTTTTTTGTTACTTTTTACTATTTATACGTAAATTATAGTGCTTTTAAATAATTGTCTCAATTAAAAGTTTATAAATAACTAAAAATAACAATAAAATCAAACTAACTAATCATTATAAACATTGAACTAACGGTTAACTTATAAATGTTTTAGTAATTAAAGGCACAAAACATAACTCAAATTAAATAACAATAAATATAACAAATAAACAAATAAAGCATTTTAGAAATGAACATGGCAACACTAATAATAACTTAAAAAGTAGTTTAAAAAGTCATAAATAATTAAATGCCTAAAAATAGTCTATAAAAGCGAGTAAATAAAGGACAGGTATAAGAGGGCGGGTATGTTATAGTGAGAAGTTTGGGTGTATTTAGCAAACAATTGGCTAAAAGCCGGTGAAAGTGAGTGTTGTGTCCATAAGATTGACACAAATATAGTATAAAAATCGATAACTTATCAGATCTTTGACCACAAATACCGCAGACATGTCTAAGACATCAAACGGTAGACTCTGTGGTCACAGAAATGCATAACATTTGGCGATAGGATAGAGCGCAGGGAGGGGTGAGGGGTGTCCACCTCTACACAGACACCACTGCATGACAATGAATGATAACCACGGATGACATACTTGTTTAAGTGAGTAGTTCTCGCGGATCAGCTCAAACTGCTTCTGCTCCAGAAGATTGAGTTTACACTTCATTTGGTTCCACGTCTTGAGCTGTTTGGCGTTGAACTCCTTGACCACGAGTTTGGCGTAATTGCGCTCGTCGTCCAAGAAGAGGATCAGTTCCTTCATCTCCGAGTTCTCGCGCATCACTTCCCGAAGACGTTGTTTGGCGGACAGCGTCTCCTCTATGAGCACATCATTGCTGTTGACATCCATTTGGTGGTCGATCGCCGGCACGCATGCGATGATTGGCGGACCAGTTGTGGTGATAGGACGGTGTGGTAGGCGGTTGTGGACCAGACTTCAGGTGATCATTGATTGTGGCATTCGTTGGAGGCTTTGATTTTTGACAACACTTTTGAAGTTTACGTTCAAATCGATGATCGATTGCATCGAATATTTGTGGAAAACTTTTTTGTTTGGTTTTTCACATTCCGTACAATAATTACGACATTATATTCAGTAGAAGTAGTTTTTGAGCAAAAGTTTTCAACACTATTTCATTGAATTTGTTTTTAAGCTTACATTAAGTTTTAATTTAATCACATTTTAATAGTCATTTATAACTATCAGGATGAGAACAATAATGTCAATTACTTTATGATAAATGCTATCACAAAATGACTTATCCAGTACAGTCATTCAAATCTGAGATTAAATAGAGTTTTCATAAATTAGTCAGTAATTGAGAAATGAATCAATGATTAAGTGTTTGTCAAATGAATGTCTTTGTGTTGAATTAGTTGTGATTTTCGGCTCAATTTTTGTCCGCAATTCTCTTCATTGCAAACAAATCTCTTGAGTTTTAAGTGAACACTATTTCTGTGATACCAAAGACCAGAATTGTCTGAAAATCGTTGACCACAACCCTCGGCATCATATGGTTTGTCTCCCGTATGAATGCGTTTGTGTGACATTAGATCCCAATTAGTTATTAAATTTATTTGTGGCGTTAATTGTCAATAATTTGAGACAATTTATTAAGTCATCTGTTTTGACATTCATTTCATTATTGTCTCCAATATTACAAGCAATGACTTATCATTCAATTGAGTGTCTGTTTCACACAAATGCTTATTAAATGCTTTTAGTTTTGATAATAAACTTAATTTCGATATAAATTGTGTGTTAATTGAGTTCACGTTTGAATTGATATCCAATTTGATGGCAATTATAATTAGAATTATAAATTGTCTCAATAACAAATTACAGTAATATAAAAACACAAAATAAAAATATACGAATTTTTATTGAAATAACTTAGTAGAGATCATTTTAATACAATAAATATTAAAACTTCATTACAATTTTAATTATTCTTGTATTAAATGTCATAATAATGTCATAATAATTGATATTATTTCATAAAATCAAGTAAAAGTTGTGAAAACTTTGAATCTTTAAAGTGTTTGATAAACATAACCGAAGTCCAGTCCATGGGTTTAACATCAGGTCCCGGCGTTCTCTTATCAAACACCAGTTCCCCTCTCGTGAGGGTTCCGTTCAATTCAATGGATGTCTTATATTCCTGTTGGGATTCAATGTAGTCCTGGTATACGACTGCCATTACTACCAGTATATCAAACATTATGAACCCTTTAGCTCCCGGTTCTGGCAATTGAGATATTAATTGTTAGAGTAATCATGAATTAAAGTTTTCAATTAATTATCAATATTATTATTTGTATCAATTCTTACGGGGCTTAACCCTCTTGTACTCCATTTCCATTATCTGTTTCGCAAACTTTGCCTTCTTTGAATCCAATTTTGATATTTTGTCGTAAATATCCTAAAAACCACTTACGGTATTAATAGATTTATATATATAATATCAATAGTAACGAAATTATTGAATACCCAGGTCAGTATATTACTTCTACAGCATTCTTCAGGTACGACAGTAAGAGGACATTTAGCAGTGGACAGTACTATACGACAGGCCTCCACATCACTCACGATATTAAAAGTTTTCATTGGATCTGAATTTCCGGCAAAATCAAGAGTTCCGCCCATAAACACGATTTGCTCCAAATTGTCAAACAATTTGTTATCCAAATGATAGGCCAGTGCTATGTTGGTGAGGGGTCCCAAAGCAAACAAAGTGATCTGTTTTGGGTGCTCTCTGGACAGTCGTATCAATGCGTTCACCGCGTGT